ATCGCTTGTAGCAGCGTAGCTTATAAGCGGGATATCTTCCACTTCCAATAAATTTGACACCAGAATCGAGGAGCGAGACGTTCCGGTCCCAACTACAGCGACCACCGGAGAAAATTTACCCCTGGGTAAGATCGTGCAAGTTTCATTGAGTTCAGGGTTCGCGAAAGCAAATTTATGAACATTCACAAAGTCCAAAGTGGATTTCATGGCCCGGCGGTTTTCAAGGTTTGTGTCGGAGATGTCATATCCAAGAGTGATATCTGGTAAGATATTTGAGTTATTGTTGATATTTTCTACTGCAAAAACCATGGCTTCCGCTAAGCCCATAAATTTCGGTCTAAATTCATCTCTTACGTGAACTGGGAAGAGACCGCCGATTGTAACGTTTCCTTCCTTGTAAATTCTCTCTCCTGGATTGATGATCTCGCTTGTGGCACATGTGGCTTGAGGTTTCACGAGAAGAAAAATTATGATCATTGCTACTCTAACATCACGGAGGTGGTTGAGGCAAAACATCATCAAGGCCATATCCATATTTTACAGACGTAATTAGTACGTCTTTCAAAGTGGAGACTCTTGCAACTGTGTTAAGACCAGTTTCTCAGTTAAACGGCGTTTCTTTCAAACAACACATCCACGCCACGTGTATTGTAGCGTTCAATTTCCTGAAACTGACTTCGGAAAGCGAAATTCGTTTATTGCCGTTACGCGCTATATTTGGCACGTACTCAGTGGCCAGTGTCAATCATGAATTTTTGATGGGTTCAATTGAGCATGGTTTATGTAAAAATAATAAATCTTGTACCGGTCATGTCACTTTGGCTTGGCGACAAAAATATTAATTATCGTGACGTATTTTCAATTAAGGCGCTGTCACCCTGTTCGGTAATCATAATATTTCTATTATCACAATCTCTTGACTAAAAGTAAGTTTGTAACGAACATAGTTTGTTTTGTAGACCAATTATTCTTGATATTGGCCATTATATCGAGACAATGTTATTTTGCATTTGACCGGTCTGAACCCAAGGAGGTCCGTTAAGGAGTATACTGCTAGATGCCACAAAGAAAAAAAATAAAGGACATAAAAATTATGCCTTTTTTCTTTTGATTTAAAAATTACGAACGTTATCATTTAACGAAAACAGTTATTGCGCTTTCGCTATTCACTGTTTCTTAATCGCTTGAGTAGAAAAAAATTTCGCTATGTTATGCGTTTCTAATTGAGGGAGACTTTTCAATCGAGATAAAAAAAAAATAAACATTGATTACGTCGGATCACGAGGTATTCAATGTGAAAGGAAGTTTCCTTTTGTTCACCTTGATAAACAGATCTCAAATTTGCTCTGAGGTGACAGATGACTGAATACCAAATTTGGTCATCCCACGATTTTGCATTCGTGAAAGCATGGTAGTCATGTTATGCTGCCGGGCCGATATAGTTAAAGAGTCGATTGAAATCTTAAAAGACGCCTTCCATAGTCAAGTGTTTTGCGGTTAATAGACATAGTGAAACCCTCTTTCAAGATATCTCAAAAACAATTCTTTAGGAAACAAGAGTGACAGCTACATCAATAATAGACTCTTCTGAAAACAAGAAAACCACTTGTCGGGAAAAATTGAAGAAAGCAGGCACACTCCAGCAATATTTAAGGGCTGTATCCGTTACCAAGAGAACACAATGTTCTATTGACGTTACGTTTTGGTACCGCAACAGCAATGCTTGATCAAACTGGAACAAGAAGATTCTTAAGAAGTTTTAACTGCGGTAGAAGAGACAAAAGTATTTTCTGAAGGCGGCTTCAATTAAAACAACGTCAGCTCTCCAATTATTACATGCATCCTACAACACGATCCCTGTGCCCACGTAAGATCGAAGAAGAAAAGCGTCACAGGTTGCAGGATGTTTCAAATGCTTTTGTCACAAACTAGTGCCATAGCCCTGGTTTTCAATCACACCTAATCCGTTGAAGCTTTTTTTACTTCGGTATTCGTTTTGTTCTTATTTCTTCGATTGAAGGGTTATGTATGTTTAATTTAGCGTGACTTCCTTTGTCCCCACGCGCGTGATGGCTCCCTTCCCACAATTTGGTGAAGACTCGTGCACGCAAAGATTTGTTTCCCTTTTGTTAATCCTCTGTAATCCGCGTTAACGATTTGCTTCCTTGACCAGTATTGACAATCGATGTTCCTTCTCTTTCTATTTGTATTTAAGTTATTTTTGTTCTCTTTTCATACTTTCCTTTTCCTCTTTTTCCAACTTCTAATGGGTATATCACAATTTTCAATGAAATATATTTCGTCTGATCTGTGAATAAAAATCAAGCAAAGAAATGATCCTCGTAACTGGACTGCAATTAAAGCAACTGCAGAGAAGAAGCATGAAAAATTCACCAACAGTTTTTGGCCCTTTCTGTTTGCTAACTCTTGTTTCTTACCTTGCTTTATTTCTTGAGTTGTGACGACATTTCTCTCTCTCTCCTTCCTAATCATTCTTTAACCACTGAAGCGTGAAACTGTATATCCACCCGTGGTAAGACCTGTGAACCATGGTATTTTGTTCCCAACCGCCACATAATTATTTTCCCTGTGTGTACGGTTTTTTTTTTTTCTGTGACTGTTGCAGGGTATGAAAAGAGAAATGATATGAGGTCTGATATTGCAGGATGTCATACCTGCGCCAGATAACTAACGTCAGGCAAAACCGTGAATCAGCTTATGTCATGTGAAGGGAAACACATATTTGTGCTGGCATGTTAAGCAAAGAAATGATCGTTTTTTAAAAAACATATATGTTCGACACAAATTGCGCAAAATCCAGAGCGTGAATGGTGGTCAAATAATTTGCCACGGTGGAGGGTCAATGCCTAACCGCAATGGGATATTATCGATTTATTTCCGGTTTAGCTCAAAAGCTTCATCATTTCTTTACTGGTTATTTTTATGATGTTGAATAATTGGTCTCTTCCAAACTCGTGCTTAGGTAAGAACCATTATTTTTCTGGAGGGGGGTATGAGAAATTTTCTTCTGCAAACATTTTTTTAAAACATATACGTCTCCAGCTGTGAATATATGAAAGTCATGTATTTGAACTGCGGATAAAAACGTGAATATGAAAGCGATCTTCGCAGTTATGAACACTACTTAAGCAGTAGTGAATAGAAGGCGTGAGTTGGTAGAGGTAAAGAAGGCCTCAGTGGGTAGAGCAGTGCACTGGTATCGCATAGGTCATGGGTTCAAATCCCGTACAGGCCTGAATTTTTTTTTAGGCCTTCTATTCACTACTGCTTAAGTAGTGTTCATAATTGCGAAGATCGCTTTCATATTCACGTCTTTATCCGCAGTTCAAATATATGACTTTCATATATTCACAGCCGTTTATTCACCACTTCACGGGTTTATTCGGAACGAACATGATGACCAGCACCCAGTTGGCTTGTTAGCTCAGTTGGTAGAGTAGTGCACCGGTATCGCAGAGGTCATAGATTCATATCCCGTACAGGCCTGAGTTTTTTTTCAGGCCTTCTTTTCACTACTGCTTGAGTTTTTTCCTCAAACATTTTTTTCCAACATCATCTTCGTGCAAACAATTTTTTTTCCTTTTTTTTTCCCAGTGTTCTTTTTATTTGTGCTAAATATTACCATTGCCTTATTGAACTATTTTACGAAAAACTTAATCAATAGTAGTATAGCCACTTATTTTGTCGATATACGCTCCACTCACCTTTAACATCAGAGTTAACATGTTTTATCACATTTCTCTTCTATTGCAAAAACGTTTTTCAGTTGCCGACGAATTTGTAATGTATGTCAATAACTACAGCTGCTTGAACCAGTTTGTTTATCATTTTTTAGATTTTATTCGTTTATGTCGTTCATGTAATTCATTGACTTCTGAAATATGTATGAAGTAGCAATGATAAATATAGCCAAGACTAAAGAATATTATGTGTTTAATACAGTTTTGAGAAAAATACCTGATATATGAAGTTTTGTAGTAGGACAAAATGTTGACAAGTAACGTTGAGATTTAATTGCCACGATAAACTCCCATATTTTCAAAAAAAATATTCAGCTATTTTCAGATTTGTTATTTGCTTAATACAGAGTGACCACCTTTTAGTGCCCAAATTGTGTTAATTTTTATGCTAATGCTTCAATTTGTCATGTTACTTTATTTTTTAAATTTCAGTATGGGTAATAATATTTTTAAATATCTTACCTGACTTCTCTGCAAACATTTTTTTACCCTTTCACATATGCAAACAATAAATTTTGTCTTTTCACATCCTGTAAACAATTTTTTTTTTCAATATTTCTCAGACCCCCCCCACCCCTTAGAATGAGTGAAAGATTTGTTCTATGACAACTGAGAGAGCCACTGTTGACAGAGACGTGCTTGGGTTTGTGATGTTTTGTTAAGAGATTATCACAATAATGTCAGGGAGGTGACAAAACAAAACAGATTATTGATTGAATCATTATTGCAAGCCATTCAAGTTTGGAATTATCCTAATTCCCCGGAGCACTGAGTACTTAAAAGTTGTTCAGTTATAAAATTTTGGAATGTAGAACTATTGGCGCCGTGACTTCTGCCGTGACATGCTGTGTCACGCAGTCTTCAAAGGAAGCGTGCGTGGGCTGGATGAGTTGGTCAACATTGTTCGCAAGCTTCCCAAGGAGGTCGTGAACTCATCGTCACGCATTCCCTAACATGTCACGTAAGCCTATACCCAAACTTCAAATGTCACACATTTCGAGTTGGGGTGACCAAGGAACGAAAGCAGACAAGGTTGAGTAAGAGACCTAACCAGTTTCTTTTATGTTCAAATTAATTTGAAGATGAATTTTAAAAACGAAAATCAAACTAAGATTTACAGTTTGCAGTGCAGAAACATACACACTTACTAAACATATGGACGTGAGTATGTTTCTGCTCATCAGGTACATTATAAGCTAGTCACATGCAGTCTCTATTACGGCTAAATTTGATTAATTTGGCGATTTCGATACTTGGCAAATCTTAAAAAATCATCAGCAAAAACAGAATAGATAGAAGGCGGGAAAAACTGAGAGATGGTTTGGGAAAGATGAAGCCACAAGTTGTTGTTTTGACTGATGTCGTAGGGCGCCCACGCTAAATCTGAGACAAATAACACGGAGTTGCATTTTCCTTGGCTTACGTTGTTGCTGTACCCCCCAAAAGAGAAACGTTCTCTCCCTGGGGCGGTGGGAGGGCAAACGCGTAAGCTACCTTTTCCCAAAGTATTTTCTCTCACGTCTGAGGGTAGCTTGATGCATTCATTTTTATTTCAGTTCATTTTTTATTTTTCATTGTATTTGCAATTACATTTAGGAAATAAAAAACATTAATGACCAGGAAACCTAATAAGAATCATTAAGGCCTGTTAGCTCAGGTCAGGCCCCACAAGTAGGATAAGATAAATCAGTAAACAGGCAATAGATATAGTAAATAACATTGAAAGATATGAATGAGAATCATGAGAGGGAAGGAAAGAATGTTGAGTGAGTAAGGCGTATCCATCGAGGCACAATTCTAAAAACTTCCACTTGGTTCAGTAATTGTAAAGTTAATTCCATCAAGTCATTGAGGCACCTTGTATCATCCTGTTACTATTGGTATTAGGGACCTTAAGCAGTCAGGACGGCAACGCCAAGGAAGACCTCGATTAAAAAAATGAATTTCTGCCTTTAATTAAAATTTCAAAAATGGCTGCATGTGTTTACCATACCGTCTCATACGGCGCCACACCTCAACTTCAGCATAACGTATAAAAGAAGCGTTGAGTTCCAAATGGAAATTAAAATAATTTTCCGTCGCGGTTTCGCGCAAATTGTGGTAATTTCACGTTGTTGTTTTGCATAGGATGGCTAAGAAATGTACAAAATCTTAAAAAGCGCGTGTTCAGCTATTGTTCTGCCAATTAGATTTTTTGTTTTTCCATGTCCTCGCTGCCGTCGCCGTCGGACGTGCGAGGAGGAAGCTTAGTCCAGTTTACATGATCATCAATCGGAAAGTGAAAAACATGTGCTATCGTCATCGAACAAAACAGGAAGGGATGGTTCTCTGATCAGAAGTCTACTTTGACGGCAGGCGACCTTAAAAAAACTGATTGGAATTTAATAAACCCAATAGTTATGATGATTTCATACACGCGACGTTCAGCTGCCGTTCGTATTAACAACTTTCATACGGTTGCCTTAAGTTAACCTCGCGGAACACGATTATTGATCATTACGCCAAAAGGCTTGTGAGTTTTGGTAAGATGTTTTTTAAAATCTTTTCACTGTTATTCAAAAATTCATTGGCTACATGCCCACAACTTTTTTTTTCTAGCACACAGGGAAAAAAATCCATTTTCACCACATTTTACGTAAAATGAAATGGTTTTTAATTTAAGATATCAATTTATTTGGTTAAAACCTTTGCATCACTTGCAAATATTAATCAATATATAGTTCTCTTTAATTTTATTCTGAGTCTTGAATAATTCAATCGAATCGAGTTTTCATTAAATTTCAAATAAACTGAGAAAAATGCATTTTCATTATCATATAATATGCAACTAGTTCTGTTTTCATTTAGCAGTGACCACTATAATCTGTAAAACTTTTCCGATTTAACTTAAATCCCAAATATCCAATTAAAATTTCTGCACAAATACATTTTCTTTTTATGCATTGTCGTCTGATCCACAACTTTCCATCATTTTTCTGATAACATTCAAGAACGTTGACCGGTAACTTCGATTTCGTCCAGCTCTGAGGCATTAAAAAAAGGAATTCTCTCACAATAACAAGCAGAGTCTGTCTAGAAACTCAAACCTCCGCTATAATTACACAAATTATAAGTCAGTAACAGCCTTCTGATTTTCCGCTTCTGTCACTTTCGGACCTACGATATCCAGCCTCGATGACGTCGGAGTCGCCGCCTGAACCGAGGTCTCCGTTGGGGTCCCTGCGGCCGGGTTACTCTCCGGGCTGTTATATGACCTGTGCCGGGACTCTGCATTCGTTGCACTCCTACGGAGGGTGTGGTTTGTAATTTGGCTTTTCATGTGAGCGACCGTATTTTTCTCAGGATGTAAGAGGATTATATAAATTTTTGGCGCAAAG